GAACTGGGCGACACTAATATGATATAATATTATTTGACCCAAAATTCTTAAATTGAAATTAATTATGAATGTGTCTCTTCTTGAAACGCTTCCTCTGCCTTGAGTTGTCCAATTCCTCGATCTATTAAAAATAAACTATCAGTTCTCAGCAATCTCCTATATAAAGATATTGCAATTTAGTGTCTTCAATGCTCTCCTTCGAATGCACGTACCTTTCCAGGGATTCAAGCCTCTTTTCCTCTCGCCAAGATTAATCTCTCATTCCGAAATAAACAGCGATACGTAGAATACAAGTAGGAAAAGTTTACTTAAAAATTTGTACCAGATCAGCTACCGTCGGACACACTTACTTCACCAACTCACAACTTATTCTTTATCACTTACTACCCCTGAAGACTACCTCGAAAACCAACCATTCATTTTAAGAAACTGGAACCAACTAACTATCTCATCTTATCTATCCATCCAACCTCTCATTATACACATCCATCTTACCACTTTCCTAATTCTTGGCCAATCAGAAATTTGCATACCACTCCCCACATAAAATCAGAAATACCTACAAACTTTCCTAATTCATATTATTTCTACAAGGACACTTAATTTCTACTGACTATTTACAGAAAAACCATTTACTTATTAACTCTTTTTATTGTCCAATTCATGGCGCAAACCCAGATTACGGAACACTTTATGGCTTATGGGAAAAACCGTCGTTAACGTCTATTCATTGTACCCGCACTATCCACTAGTTATATTTATACAAAAGATTATTTATGACTAAGATTACCTTTGGTTAATTCCAGGCAGTTCGGAGTATTTTTACTTTCTATAATCTCTGAAATATTGATTTCATCGTACATTTAATATTTTTACTCTTCAATTTTGAATACCATAACAGTATATTAATAAAACATTATATTATACAAATATACAGTGAACGGCTAAATTATGGAATATTATCATTATTTCGAGAACCGTCGAATTTTGAGGAAAATCCCGAAACAGGTCGAATTTTGTTATAAAATTCCCATCTTATAACGTACATGAAGTAGGGATGACGTCACCGGTGTGGGTCTAGTGACGTAATTGTTAGTTTTTTTTAAATAGAAATCGGTATAATGCGACACCTCATTTGAAGGAGAATTTAATTCTCTATTTAACGACATAACATTTTTAACTAAAAAATTTTTTATACTACAATACTAGACCCGTTTACACGGTTACAGTAATTATTCAAGTACTTGGTAGAGTAGAGTAACTCTGCCTGTAAAAACGCTCAGCGCAATAGAGTAGCAAGTAGAGTGCATAGTATGTGGTAGAGTAGTGTGACTAGCAACACGTGGCAAAGTAACTCTACTCTACTACCACCACCACCGCCAAAATGTCCACTCGTCTGCGCACGCTACCTATGGAACGCGGTCAATTCTGGTAGAGTAGAGTAGGTAGGAGAGTGCATAAGGATGCTGTCATTCCGGCTGGAGTTGTGTTTTGTATAAATAGTGAAAATTAAGTTCATCGAAGATGAAAATTTAAAACTTGTAGAGATGTATGGCGAATACCAGTGTTTATGGAATTTAGGTACCTAGTGTACACTACAGAATTAAAAGTATGAGGCAAGCTACGGAGATGGCATCACACAACTCGGGGACCAACTTTGAAATTGTAGGTCTTGAAACCCTAAAAAAATTAAAAAGGCTTCGATAGCTGTTCCCTGTAGCTAAAATATTCAACATAATCTCAAGCTTCACTCTTGGTTTTATTGAATCCCTCATAAACGTGTCTTGTCGTTCGATTTTGTCATGCACCATATTCAGAAGTTCTTCGAATTTCCCTGGGTCATCCTTAGACACATCTTATATTTCAACTCATCCTCTAAGGCTAGTTCTCCTAGCAGAAGAGCTGAGCTGTATTCCTTCTTTTAAGCCACTCTCTCATCCACTCCTTTCTTTGCTTGTTTACCTCATCATCGATAGCTTCAGCGACTTCAGTTACAAATGCATTTGCAACTGTAGCTAAACATTTTTGAGTCAATTTTCTTTTTCTTGAATTCATTTTGCACTAAACAAATCAAGCCATTTTTGGTAGAGTAGCGAGTAGAGTTGACTCTACTCACTACTCTACTCTCCTCACAACTCTACCCATGTAAACGAGTCTTTAGGCAGTGTTGCCAAGATACTGATGCGCGATATTCCCCCGTGCGCGGTATTCCCCGGTTTCCTCTAATATAAAAAAAAATTAGCAAAACGATAATGTATTGTTCATTATCAGTTTCTTCTTATATTGCAGGTTGCTCAACAGACATTTTCGAATATTTTATGCTCATGTTAATAAAATAAATCAGGTTATATATACTTACCAAGGTTTATTTTTATTTATTTTATAATTATTTTTAAAAAATTACAAAAAAATCAAATATTGTACTGAAGCTATTTTCTTGTGGCATTGTAAATTAATTACTATTAAACTGGGAATAAGCCACAATTAAAGATAAAAATACGTTTATTGACGTTTCAATTTCCACTTCGGAAATCGTTCTTAAAATACAAACAGTAAATTAAACAAATTTTGTTTTTTGTTACATAGTGAAAAATTCTTCTAATAATTTAATTTTATCTGACTCATTTATATTGACAATTCAGACATACATTATGCATTTTAAAGTAGACGACTTTAAAATGATATTGCCAATATTGTTGAGTTGCGCTCCTGGGACGACTTTACTTATGAGATAGTTCATTCGATTATATGAAATCAACTTTAACTTGAGAATATCCGTCAGAAAAAAATCATAGCATGTAATTCGTCTTTAAAAAGACAAACACATGACATAATGACAGTAAAATTCTCCTGTTAGTGATTCCATAGTAAATTATGAGGGAAAAACCAGGAAAAAAAACTCATAATACTATCCCGACATTGTAAGTATTTGTTCGTGAATTTAGTTTACCTTCAACAAACATCAAAATTCTGATTTTATATGTAACGTTATTTAAAAAACATAAATGATGTATCCTCTACATGTTACTGACTTACTAATACTGGTATTTTCTTATTAATAACTTCCTCTTTCAATATTGGTAACCAGATCCTACTACATTCTGCCGAGGAATTTGCGACACAATTGGCCTCATTTAGCATAATTAGAGCCGCTTCTTTGATTTTCCTTTTTTACCATCCGTTTCTTTTAGGACTACATTTGAATTATTCCATTGAACCCTATGGTCATTATCCCATGCGTGTTTACAGATTTGAGATCTATCAAATTCTCTATTTTAATATAAGATTGATGTTCACTTATTCTAACGGATCAGAGTTGTTGGACACATTCCTAAATGATATAAACGATAAAGAAGAGACAATAACATTTACCATGGAAAAGGATATAATAACACGCTACCTTTCCTGGATGTTTTAATCTCTAAGAACGATACTGGATATGAGACTCAGGTGTATAGAAAACCAACACACACCAATAGATATTTAAATTTCAAATCAAATCACAATATTAATGTAAAAAAGGGAATAATTAAATCCTTATACGAAAAGCCAAAATTACTTGTTCTAACGAAAATTCGTTCTTGGAGGAGAAACATTTGTTAACATCTGTTTTATTAAAAAATGATTATCCTTTATCGTTTATAAATAAGGAATTTTCAACAATCGATCGAATAGAACAGAACAACTTAGAACGAGATCCTACAGCATACACAAGGAATAATATGAGGAAAATAACAATACCGTACATAAAAGGACTATCAGAAAAACTTAAAAGGATAGGAAATAAATTCAACATTTCAACAACATTCAAAACAACAAACATGTTGAGATCTATTTTGTCCAAAACCAAACCTAACAATGAACAAGAAAGGACAAAGAATTGCATTTATAAAATACCTTGTGAATGCAATCAGATTTATTTAGGTGAATCATCAAGGCCATTAAATGTTAGAATAAGTGAACATCAATCTTATATTAAAAATAGAGAATTTGATAGATCTCAAATCTATAAACACGCATGGGATAATGAACATAGGGTTCAATGGAATAATTCAAATGTAGTCCTAAAAGAAACGGATGGTAAAAAAAGGAAAATCAAAGAAGCGGCTCTAATTATGCTAAATGAGGCCAATTGTGTCGCAAATTCCTCGGCAGAATGTAGTAGGTTCTGGTTACCAATATTGAAAGAGGAAGTTATTAATAAGAAAATACCAGTATTAGTAAGTCAGTAACATGTAGAGGATACATCATTTATGTTTTTTAAATAACGTTACATATAAAATCAGAATTTTGATGTTTGTTGAAGGTAAACTAAATTCACGAACAAATACTTACAATGTCGGGATAGTATTATGAGTTTTTTTCCTGGTTTTTCCCTCATAATTTACTATGGAATCACTAACAGGAGAATTTTACTGTCATCATGTCATGTGTTTGTCTTAAAGACGAATTACATGCTATGATTTTTTTCTGACGGATATTCTCAAGTTAAAGTTGATTTCATGTAATCGAATGAACTATCTTATAAGTAAAGTCGTCCCAGGAGCGCAACTCAACAATATTGGCAATATCGTTTTAAAGTCGTCTACTTTAAAATGCATAATGTATGTCTGAATTGTCAATATAAATGAGTCAGATAAAATTAAATTATTAGAAGAATTTTTCACTATGTAACAAAAAACAAAATTTGTTTAATTTACTGTTTGTATTTTGAGAACGATTTCCGAAGTGGAAATTGAAACGTCAATAAACGTATTTTTATCTTTAATTGTGGCTTATTCCAGTTTAATAGTAATTAAAAAATCAAAATTGTGAATTACCTAGACCAATTTCTATGTATATATTTGTAATTATAATTATAACTGTATTATGTAAATTCCTAGAAGGTGTGTACCTTATACTCCTAATTATATCGTAATCTAAGGTCAAGAAGCCACTTAAACGATGAGATGATTTACACACAAAATAAACAAAATAAAAGATAATCCCACAATCATTTTAACCGCAAGATAGTTTTGTGTAAATAGGTCGTCTGTAAAAATCGTTTGTGCACATGTCAAATATGTTTGAATACCGTATATAAAAGCCTGAACATTTTTATAAAGTTATTAGTTATACTTAATCAACTGAAATACTTGGTTCATAAATATCCAGTACCTCTTCCGATATCAAAAATGTTTTGTAAACTATTTTTACTTACTCTTATTGTTGCTGTTGTAATGGCGGCACAAACTGCCGAGGAAGCATGGCCAAAATACAAGGTAGGCTTTATCATTGTTTAGTTTAATCCTTAATTTGTAGGCGAGCGGTTTACCCCTCAAAAGACGCTTAGAAACAGAATATACCGACTAAAATTCTTTTTGCATTTCTAATGCACCAAACCTTTTTTATTCGATTCTATATATTTTTCCAAGATGAAATGTATTTTTTTTTGAATTTTTACAAGTGGGCCGGCAATTGTTATTAACAAATAACATACAAAAAAGCGATTTCACCTAATTGTTTCGGAATTAATTTTTTTAGGTGTATCTCATCAAATTAAACACTTTTTCTCTCTTGATAATTTTTCGAAAAATGCTTCCTTTTCGAGTTATTTGCATTTTTTTGTTGAAAAAATGCTTTAATTAGTGATTTTTGGGATTTTTTTTCTAAAAATCTACTAAATGAATTGCAATTCTACAAATAGCTCTATAATATTTAAACCGTCGAGTACAAGGTAGAATATTTTGACAAGGATAATTTTTTTCTATCTTGCTAAAAACGTGGACCCAAATATTTCGAATATGCCTTTCGAGCAGTCTACCGCTAAGTGTGTACAGCGGTTGCAGCGATACATGCGTGCGGCGCGTAGAAATATTTGTTTAAATTTAAAAAATTAATTCAATACAAATATTACGTACAATTTATTAAAAAAAAACAGATATTTATAATTATTTTTATATAGACATATTATAATTAAAACAATTAAAGTTAATTTTTTACAATGCTATAATAATATAATTTTTCTTTTAATATACGTCTAACTATATTATTGAATGTTTTATTACAGTGAAATACATTAAGCAATATATAATTAATTTTCATTGAAAAATATAATAAAATAAAAATATAATATTAATTATACATCGTTTTCATTGTCAATAACCTCAACCGCTGTACGCGCTTAGCGGGATACTCTCGAAAGGCATATTCGAAATATTTGGGTCCACGTTTTTAGCGAGATAGAAACCATTTATCCTTGTCAAAATATTCTAACTTGTACTCGACGGTTTAAAGATTATAGAGCAATTCCGAAGCAATTCGGTGAAATTGCTTTTTTGTATAAGTTATTTGTTAATAACAATTGCCGGCCGACTTGTAAAAATTCAAAAAAAATACATTTCATCTTGGAAAAATATATAGAATCGAATAAAAAAGGTTTGGTGCATTAGAAATGCAAAAAGAATTTTAGTCGGTTGATGCTCTGCTTATAGGGGTAAACCGCTCGCCTATTGACAAATCTGCCCTTGATCAGGCCCAGTAGAAGAAATTTTAGAATTTTTGCCGGTCCGACAAATTACAGGGTTCCCGGATTTTCAATAAACTACATCTAAACTTTCTTGTTCTATAAATGAACATGAAAAGTTGTGCGCTTTAAGAACATTTTATATAAACATTTATGTTTTATTATTATAAAAGGGTGATTTGTTGGCGATTCTGCTAGTTCTATTTATTTCTGTAAATAATATAATAAAAATATTTCTATCTTAATTATTCTATTGTTCACTTTACTACTCACTACATTAATACTTATCCGCAATTTTGCGACCTATTGGTCGCTGGTGCTTCGAGGTTTTATTCATTTTTCCACCATATTTCAGCATCTCTGCAGTCATTCCATCTTTTCCAGGCGATTTGTTGTTTTTCATTTCTTTCAATGCCTTCTTTATTTCTGATTTGCTTATTTCTGGCTGTAGCTCTGAGTTTACATTATTTATTTTAACCTTAAGTTGGTTTTTAATTTCTTCTGGTGGTTCCTTTTTTGTTTTATATAATTCTGAGTAGAAATGGTGGATTATATTTATTATGTGATCTTTAACGTTTGTTTCTACTCCAATTACATCTTTTATTTTGTTTATTTCAAACTTACCTAATTTCGGCCTTAAACATTTCATATTACTAGATAGATTTTTGACCAGGTGAACATGAGAACATTGGTGGACTTCTTTAAATTAATTTTAGCTGCAACCTTATTTATTTTGTATTAATATTATTCAGTATGTTCTTGTAAATACTTCAATAGATACATGTCACTGGGTCACCCCAATCACCGATGCCGTGGCAATATTTTTCTATTCTAAAGCACTATTTTCATATGCATTAGTCATTTTGCAAATATTTCAAAAAAACGCCACACAGGTTAATCAAATTTAACTTTGACTGAGCGTGTTTGTGAGTGTTATTACATTCCTGACTAATATATGCCTCTGTATACTTTTTTTGCCTCTTTTTTTTTAATTTATACTTTAAAGAGATCAAATAAGTATATCTAAAAGTTAGGTTATGCTTATAATGACTTAAAAAAAATTTACATGGGTCATTACAATCACTAAAAGAGAAATATTTCAACATATCGTAATACCCCATGCTTCTTTGGAGATACCGGTGAAAGATACAACGTCTTTATTCCTACTGAACAAATCTTATTTATTTTTCAGCTGGATTATAGCAGAAACTACAATGCTGAGGAAGATGCAAAACGATTTGCCATTTTTAAGGATAACTACGATAGAATCGAAGCACACAACAAAAAATTCAAGGCTGGAGAAGTAACATGGGAAATGGGATTGAACCAATTCGCTGACAGAACTCCCGAAGAACTTAAACATCTTCATGGAGTCAGACGTCCCGAAGCTCGTGGTGCTACTGGGGTGCATTAAATTATTTATTAATAAATGTTTAAAAATGTTTCTAAAATAAAGTTATATCTTTGCAGATAGTTATTTTTTAGATAAATTGATTTAGAATTTTTTTACTTATATCATTAACTATTCTATTGTTTTTTTATACCAACAAGCTGAGGATACTTTGTACTACAATCTGATCACAAAGATCAATCATCATCATCATTGATGCTTCTTCTTCATCTTTGAGTGCCGTGTCCGTATTCAGACGTTGGCCATCATCATGTTTACAATTTACTGAAACCTTTCTCTGTCGGCTGCTGCGCGAAATAATTCTTCTACTGTGGAACCACACCATTGTCTAATATTACGCAGCCATGAAAGTTTCTTTCGACCAATCCATCTCTTTCCTTCTACTTTTCCTTGTATTATGCGGCGAAGTAGATGGTATTTAGGTCATCTAATTATATTTAAATTTAGAATATTTAAAGAAGCGCTGCGTAGTTTCGAATGGGGCGTGAAAGTTAATGGAATTCTGATAAATACAATCAGATATGCAGACGATACAGTTATTTTAAGTGATGACATGAATGGACTACAATGCCTTTTAAATGCCATTGATACAGTGGGAAGAGAGTTTGGCCTAAACATAAACTGTTCAAAAACAAAACACATGGTGTTTAGCACATCAAGATGAACGATTATATGTTGATGGTCATATAATTCAAAGAGTGTCCAGTTTTAATTATCTTGGTTACCATATTACTGAACAACTAGATCCAGATCAAAAGATAAAATGTAGAATTGAGATAGCCCGCACGACATTTTTAAAAATGAGGTCATTCTTCTGTAATGATAACTTGCAACTTCAACTTCGAAAGCGCATGGTTAAATGCTACATTTGGTCAGTCCTCTTATACGGTGTCGAAGCATGGACATTAAAAATATCCACCATTAATCGTCTGGAGGCCTTTGAAATTTTGAAAACAGTATCAGTTCTCCCCGTTTTACGGTATACCTACTTTATAAATTAATAGAATATTAGAGGAAGTGAGCCAAATATGGAATATGCTCTTAATATGGAATACCGTATTTTCTAGAAAAGTTAATCGGCAACGTTGCATTTATCCAACCCAAAAAAGGTACCTTTGGCTGTAGTAACGTGACAGCATTCAGTTCTGATCTAGTATTCGTAGTGTGAGTACAGTTGCCTTCAGAGTTATTTTAGATTCCGCGAGTTTTTTATAGGTAAGTACTTTGAACAAGAATAGTATAAGTTCTGCATGAAATATAATTTTGATAACACCCATCTATTATGTAATAGGCATGTTTTCTTAAACAAAAACTCTATATCTTTTTCGCATGTAATGATATTGCAGTTGGAAATTCAAACATTGTAGTGTGCCTAATATGGAATACTTGAGGGTATTAAATATGGAATATTCCATATTCGGAACATTTTTTTGTCATAATATATCTAACTATTATGTTACTTATCGAGTTTCGTAATTAGTTTGGTTTGAAGATTACATTTCTATTTGTTGCAGGAAAATGCCACAGAAGAAGAAAAGTGATAAACCCTGTAGAAAGTCGTGGAACAAAGATGACATGAAACGTACTATTCAGGCCGTTAGGATCAAATAAATGGGATATAAAAAAGCAGCAGACACCTTTGGAATACTTCGTACCACTTTATTTCGTTTTACATCTAAACCTAATGATGCTGTAGACAAGAAATTAGGTAGACCCCCTGTTTTACCAGAAAATTTAGAAACAAAATTGGTAGAATATTTACTTTTAATGGAAAAGAAGTTCTTTGGATTAACTAGACGGGATGTTAAACATATGACTTTCCAGTTAGCTGCTGCTAATAACTTACCAAATCCATTTTCGAAAGAAACTGAAAGTGCTGGCAGAAAGTGGCTAGATTTATTTCTAAAAAGACATAAAAGTGCGATTTCTATAAGAAAGCCAACCGGAACCTCAATTCATCGGGCTAAAGGTTTCAATAAGGAAAATGTTAGCCTTCGATCTTCTGGAGTTAGCATTCGAGAAGCCTCAATATCCTGCAGATAGAGTTTTTACCGTTGACGAGACTGGGTTGTCTATCGTCCAATCGAAGATACAGTCTGTTCTGGCTTTGAGGGGTGCTAAGCAAGTTGGCTCGATAACGTCTGCCAAGAGGGGATCTCTAGTCACAGCTGTTTTATGCATGAGTGCAGGGGGAACTTTTGTTCCACCATTACTTATTTATCCTAGAAAGAATATGAATATTTTGCTACAAAAAGGAGCCCCTCCTGGATCAAAAATTGTGTGCCATCCGAGTGGCTGGATTCAAACGGAAATATTTACAGAATGGTTCCGGCACTTCATAGAAAAAATAAGACCATCACAAAGTGATCCAATATTGCTAGTTTTAGATGGGCACCATTCGCATTGTCGCAACTTACAAGTTATCGATTTAGCAAGACAAAATTTTGTGGAGATATTGTGCCTGCCCCCACACTCTACCCATTATATGCAGCTGTTGGATAAAACTTTCATAGGGCCTTTAAAATCTCACTATAGTGAGGAATTAAGAGTATTTCTTCGAATCAATCAGAGGGCTGTCACACCTTTCGACATCTCTGAATTATTTGGTAGGGCTTATTTGAAAGTCCAAACTGGGGCAATAGCCGTTAATAACTTCAGGAAAACAGGCATATATCCCACAAATCGCAATGTTTTCGAACACCACGATTTCCTTGCTGCTGAAGAGGCATCGCAATCTGACACTCCATTAAACGAAATTTATGATGAAAATGGGACTACTAAAAAATCAAAAAGGAATACGTTTATCGAGCCTCATCAAATATCACCTTTGCCGACATTAAGTAAGAAAAAAGGACCTCAAAGAGGAAGAGCACCAGGAAAAGCTGCAGTTAGGCATCCCCATACAAAGAAAACCTAAATAATTCAATAAATTCTCTTTTATCGGACAAATCAAAGAATATGGCAAAGCGAAACGTGATATTCGATCTATCCCATTCACAACCATCTTGTAGTGGTGTCAATATTCCCAAATTAACGATGAAACGATCACATCTTAAAGAGTCCTCTTCATCGGAGTCTGACGTCGAGAGCTTAGATGACAAATCATCTGACGATAACATCACAGAAATAGGGATAACAGATTTAGAAGATCCAGATGCAGTGTGCTTTTATTGCCATGGAAGTTTTTTAAACGATGTTCGAGGCGAAAATTGGATACGCTGTCTGTCCTGTCAGCAGTGGTGCCATGTTGATTGCGCAGGGGCAGAAACGGAAACATTCATATGTGATTTCTTCAAAGAAAATTAAAAAACTGCAAGGTACCTTTCTCTTAAAGATTTAAAATTATTTATAAGAATATGAAAATGTTTGAATTGTCAATAAATATTTTTCTTATAATTTTGTTTTATTCCATATTTAAAACATAAAGTGTTCCATATTAGGTGCATATTCCGTATTAGGTACAAAAACGTGTCAATGCAGTAAAAGTTTTTTTGTGAAAAACTTATCGAATTGATTGAATCCTCAGATAATAATTCCGATGAACGAAATTATGATCCAATTTAGCTTAAAGAATTAGATTCATTTGATCGAAAACCACTTATTGACAGCAAAAAATAAAAATGGTATTCCATATTTGGCTCCTTTCTTCTATAAATAAAAGCAAAAATTTATAATAGAAAATTAAATAAATGCGGTATGTAAATACATCGGAAATCTGGACGTACAATATAATTTTATTGTTTTTCACGGACATTCAAAGTCACTTAACCACAAGGTGATAAATTATATTTAAACTAAACAGAAAAAAGTTGTGATCTTGTAATAAATATTATTATTTCATATTTTTACGTAAGTGTAAGTAGTATTGTTCAAACTGGTTGTGCACATGTGCCAGAGAGTGTATATAAACGATAGAACAACTATATTTGGAATTATTAAAGTAATTTGAACTCGAATAGTATTCTCGTCGATAATAATTATCTAGTGTTTTGCATAGATAATACTAATCATGATTTTGAAATTATTTTTGTTTGCTTTGTTCGTTGCAGTGGTAATGGCGGAAGAAACCGCGAGAGAGGCATGGCCAAAATATAAGGTAATATTTTCTTTTTTGTTAAGATAAACTTAGACAAATATTAATATTATTCATATGATTTATGTGATAATAGATTCGTATGGAAATTAATCGATAACGTTATCTGGGAGAGATACATATAGGAATTAAACAATATACACTGCTTTTCAGATAAAACTATCCAGTGCAAAAACACGTCAATTATTATTTAAAGGGGAAGACATTATGTCATTTTTAAGTTTGCTGTGAAAGGCACCCTATCATCCACCGTATGCTTCCCCATTTTTTATTTTATATGGATTTTCCTTTTGTACTGATTTCAAAAATATGTAACACATGATGTTAAAGTGTATAGTTTATGAGAAAAATAAATAAAAAAGCGAGAAAGCTGTTATAAAAAAAATGTTTAACAATTTTTTTACAAACATTTAGAATTGACATTTTACTACCAAAAATTTTTAGAATAATTATTTAAAATAACTGCTATTCACTTCCATTCAATAGCACAATTTATCTTAAAATTCTTCTCTGACATTGCTTAACACTTCTTCTTCTTTGAGCAACGTGCCCAAGTTTAAGGTGTTAAATGGTTTACCACAAGTAACTTTGTCATCATCATCATCATATAACGGGGTCCTACGGCGATTGCCGCTTCCCGCATTTCAGCCTCCATCTTTTCCTATCTCTCCAATCTCAATCTTCTAAGCCTCTAGATTGCATTGTTTTTGTAATTTCTCTTTTCCATAAATTTGGTGGTCTTCCCCTTTTTCTTCTTTCTGGCGGAACACACATTAGGGCTTTCTTTGGCCACCGCTCCTCCTCGTTCTCATCACGTGACCGTACCATTGTAATTGCCTTCCTTGTATTCTATCTAAAAGAGTATCTCTAATTCCTGTACGGTTTCGAATTTCCTCATTCCTGATTCTTTCCATTCTCGATACTCGACATGACCTTCTAAGATAATCCATTTTCCACAACGTCTACTTTATCTCGTTCATTCTTTGTCATCGTCCAACATTCGGCACCATATGTGGCAATCGGTTCTACAATTGCTCTGTACACACGAAGTTTGGTATGCATCTTTATTTTATTAGACCACAGTAATGAATTCAGTATTCGGATGCATTTTTTCCCTTGGTTTATTCGGTTTTGTACATCTATCTTAACTCTGCCATCTGCTGATTTGATGCTTCCTAGATATTTATACTGGTTGAAACCTTTTATGACTGCGTTTTCAAGCCTCAGATCTGTGGTATTTCCTCCAATTTTTAAATATTCTGTTTTGCTTATGTTTGCAGTAAGCCTCCATTTGGCATATTCCTCAAATAATTTTCGATTCATATAATTTATATCTTCCTCATCGGTTGCAACCACCACCTGATCATCTGCAAACAACAATGTATACAGAGTTTCTTGTCCCACTTCGATGCCCATAAATCTACATTTATTTCTCCAATTCCTCAATGCTTCTTGGACATATATTTTAAAGAGTATCGGTGACAAACAGCATCCTTGCTTTAGGCCTTTAGTGACTTTAAATTCATTTGAAGTTCTGGTTCCAATTTTTACACAACTAACTGCATTTTCGTACAATTTATATATCGCTTGGATATACGTCCAATCCAATCCGGACCTTTCTAGGACCTCAAACATTTTCTTAAGCGGGACACTATCATATGCTTTCTCAAGGTCTATAAATACCAAATGGGTCTCTCTACTTCTTTCGACACGCTTTTCAATTATTTGTCGTAGGATAAATATATTATCAAGACAGGATCTCCCGGTACGAAAGCCGCTTTGTTCTTCAATATCTTGTATCTGTCTTTCAACCCTCTTCTTTTATATTCTGCCGTATAACCGGCCCACAAAGCTTGTCACACTAATACCTCTATAATTGGAACAGTCTCTTTTATTCCCTCTCTTATATATGAAGCTTATATAAGATTTATTTTAATCTTTAGGAATTTCCTGGTCTCCACACATAAATTTATTAAAAAGGTCTACTATTAATTCTAAAAGTGCAGTCGGCCCATATTTAACCAGCTCTATGGGAATGTCTCCAGGCCCTGCGGCTTTTCCGTTTTTAACCTCTTTTAAGGTACCCGTCAATTCAGATAATGTTATTATAGGGACTTCCTGTCTTTCGTCTCTGTTATCTATTAATTCCCTTATCTTGTCCCATCTGTACTCTATCCTCTTTCAGCAGTTTCGTGTAATATTCTTCCCATTCATTTAACTCTATGAGAGGAATGTTCTCTTCATTTTTCTCATTTTTCCTAAACTGCTTTAATGTTTTCCAAGCTTGTGCCACTTTTGTTCCACCCATAAATCTGTCCAGTTCATCACACTTAGCCTCCCAGTTTACATTTTTCGCCTTACCCACTTCTTTTTTAACTTCTCTATTCCATTTGGCGTATATTTCTCTGTCTTGAGGATCTTTGGATTGAAGCCATATGTGATATGCTTGTTTTTTCTTGAGAACTTTCTCTTCTAGTTCTGTTGACAACCATTCAAGTTTTCCTTTTTTCCGATTTTCAACTTTTCCAAGTGCTTCATTTGCCGCTTCGTGAATATATTTTTTGATTACCTCATACATACTTTCAGGGTCTAAGTCCTTTGTTTTTATATTTTTTATTTTTTGAGCTATTCTAATTTTATATAAGAACTTTGTCGAATCTTGTTTAAAGCTTTCCAAGTTATATTTGATGTTTTCTATGGTTGTTCCTATGTCTGTTACTTCATCATTTTTGTGACTTGATTTTTATCTCTTAAATGTCATCATTACTTTTGCAATAATCATATGGTGGTCACTTCCACATTCTGGCCCTCTAAACACCCTCACGTCCTTCGTTTTTAGTTTAGAATCTTTACGCTGAATGAAATAGTCAATTATTGATTTTAAATTCCTGGTAGGCTGCGTCCATGTAAATTTGTGTATATTCTTATGGAGGAAGAAACCATTTAAAATTTTTAAAGAATGTGCCTCGTAAAAGCGAAGTAACTTTGTCTTTGTTGTATTTATGCTTAGTCCGTTATTAGAGCAGTCTCTAGTGACTCGATCTATAAGGAATTGAAGATCTTCGATACTTTCAGCCATGATTGCGGTGTCATCTGCATATCTGATGTTATTGATAGTTTCTCCCCCGATTCGAACTCCACATTGCCCTTCCAAGGCTTTGTTAAAAATTATTTCTAAGTAAACGTTAAACAAAGTTGGGGACAACACACAACCTTGTCTAACATCTCTTTGAATACAAATGTTGTCTGTTTCTTTGCCAACGACCAGAATAGAAGCTTCTTGATTCCAATATAGATGTTGTAATAGTCTCAGATCTTTATCATCTTAACACGTCTGCATTTAATTATCGATATTCATTATCTATTCTTTGTTGTCAATCTTCCAGAGATTCTGGTTGAGTAGCATAAATTTTTGTTTTTAAATACCCTCATAAGATGTCCGGGGATGTTAAATCCGATGATCTAGGAGCCCAATGCATTATCTGCCCTCTTCTACCTATCCACTAACCAGGAAAAGTTTTGTTTAAAAATTATCGCACAGATAGAGCAAAGTGCGGACGAGCTTCATCATGTTGATATAATCATTAGAAAGTTATTATAATGTTCTACTAATACGATCAACAATATTTTAATGGAACATTATATCTATTGTTATTTACATAATTCATTTGTTATAATTTAAAAACAAATTTGTTGCTATGTTTTTTCACCCTTTTAATGAACATGGTCTTGTATCCCTCTGATAAATTTATTGTAGTGTAAGACTTAGTGTGGGGTATTGAATAATAAGTACAATACTATATGACATAAAATTTATTTAACCATACAATTCACCTTTACAAATACAAATAGTACTTCTATGTATTATCCAAAATGGTATTTTACCACTCAGTCATCCTCAAGTAAGTCTCCTTCTGGATGGTCACTATTGGTATCATAGTATGATTTAATTTTTTATAAAAGCATGACAAAATGTAGAAACATGTGGCAGTAATACTAATAGATCATTATACTTTTTTTTCAGAAAGGCACGTAACTTTAAAAATTTGCTTATATCCACATTATGTCTAATAACTAACTCGGATTTTATCATAGAGCATCGTGATCACATTGTAGAAGATTTCCATTTATTTTCATTTTCCATTATATTAAAATATGCCAGTAAAACGTCTTCGGTAACTTGCCGTACTCCTCTTGTATCTCACTACTCTTGGAAGTGCTTGTACGCTAACCGATACTTTATTCCGGACTTAGAGGGCCCCAAACGTGATACTGCATCATTAGCCGCGGACTCAATTTCGTTTACGTTTTCCATTTTCGCACTAAATTTGCGCTTGCGGTTGCAACACCAATATGCAAACAACTGTCAAACAACTGTAACCAGGGAGACGCAAATCCCACCGACGACTTAATTATTTTAATTTCTAACATCTAGACGACTTTGATAGTTGTCATAGTTAATTTCGAGTAAAAATAGCGTATGAATTGTACTATTTATGGTTGAAAATTGCTACGTTTAAAAAAAAATAGTATACTTTATTCGGCAAAGAAGCGACTTTTCTTGACTTGCCCTCTATTACGTATTTAACATTTGTTTCTGAAAATATGTGTAATAAATATTATGTAATTAGTTTATAACTGTTTTATCTTAAACAACAAATAAATATAAGTATCTCTAGAAAAAATTATGCATCTTTTATATATCCTTATTTTCCAGTAAATTTTAATTAGTAACGAAATAGCCCGCAAGAGGCGCTAAAGGATATGTATGTAAGGGGTGTCCATTCGAATTTGTCGCCAAAAGATGATTAGTATTGACCCCAGCCGCAAGGGTTCCTAATGAACGAAATTTATACATTGAGTTGCTTATCTATTTCTACTATTATATTATTTATCTATGGTCTTAGCTACATTTCTAGTTTGAAACATTTTTTCACAAACAGTTTAAACAAACAGTTTAAACAACAAATAAATATAAGTATCTCTAGAAAAAATTATGCATCTTTTATATATCCTTATTTTCCAGTAAATTTTAATTAGTAACGAAATAGCCCGCAAGAGGCGCTAAAGGATATGTATGTAAGGGGTGTCCATTCGAATTTGTCGCCAAAAGATGATTAGTATTGACCCCAGCCGCAAGGGTTCCTAATGAACGAAATTTATACATTGAGTTGCTTATCTATTTCTACTATTATATTATTTATCTATGGTCTTAGCTATATTTCTAGTTTGAAACATTTTTTCTACGACGTTTAAGGCGCGGCGCGTTTTCACGGGTCGATCTGAGTTGAACGATTTGGATCGTTCGACCAAAGAATATAGACGCTTATATAAGCGACGATATATAAGCGTCTATATTCTTTGGTTCGACCATCATTTGATCTGTGCCGAAAGCAAAAAGGTTTACAGGACAGTCGATGAATGTTGAATTACTTAAAATTATCTATATTTTTTAAATGTTAATATAATTTGGTACATTGATTTGTAAATGTAATATTTTCGAAGTAAGATTTTACATTAATAAATAGTCTATTTTTAAATGCACCATTAAGATGGTATTCTCTTAGATAAAACTTGGAAAACAATTAGGACCAAATTACAAAATAATAGATTAACAACTAAAACCAAATTAAATGTATCAGCTATAATGCAACTGTTGACTTGAGCTACTGACAACACTTTTTTTATCTAAACAATGATTTCTATAAACAAAATTTTTGGGCTGTGCTTTAAATCCATTAGGGTAAACTGTGCAAATACCGGTCAGTGGGTAATGGCGGTCATCCCGATTGTGCGAAATCTATTCAATCTGGCAACCTCCTATAACTGCCAACGTGTCGCTACACTACTCTGTATTCAGATTGCTGACGAGCGTTGAGTTGGCGCAAACCATTGTCATAGAAATATTATTAACCTGTTTTCAGTGTTTTCGATCTTATTTTTATGCTGAGTAATATAAGGTCTTAATTCATTTTTATTCACTTGTAGATCTTAAAATTGGTTACAATTGATTATAATGACGTTAGCTGCCTATTCCATTTTTAAAGATCAATATTTTAATACATGTTTACGAGTAAAAAATTCTAAGAAAAAAAATGCCAACAGGAGGCAATGCCGGTCAGTTGACCGGTATTACCCCCATGCTATTATACCCTATACTATTAATCCTTAGGGATTAATCCATCCATTTTTCGACATTGCAAGAAAGAATAAAAAATAAAAATCTTCAAGGTGTCTCATTAGGTAGAAAATCAGTATTTTCTGCTGAACAAGAAGCTAAAATAGCCACACAAAAAAATATTTAGCTTAATTTTTTATGGCGTAACAGCAATAGAACTGAGAAAATTAGCATTTGGGTTTACAAGATAATTTTTCTTGTAATAAAACACCTTTTTCTTGTAATTGGCATTACAAGAAAAAGGTGTTTGATTCTAGTTCTTTGGAATCGGATATTGATATATCATGTGATAACAGTGACGATGCATTCGAAGATAGATGCCTGGTTTACAGCGAGTTTGGCAAAAACAATGAATTGTGGTATATATTTACCGTTTGCTCACGATGGGCTTATTCAGAGTGCAGTGGATGGGATTCTGCAGAGAGTTATACCTGCGATGACTGTCAACTATTTTTACATTAAAACACATATTTTTGTTATTTTTTGTTTGTTTTGCAATAAAAAATATTTTTTCACTTTTCTTACTGATTTACTTGAATTATGACCCATGACGCCACATTCGTTAATCGTTTTATAACAAAAAAATGTTAAATAGATATTGATTTTTATTTTAAGAATAACACAAACAAATTGACTGTCATTACCCACACTCATGACCGGTATTGTCCATGTATGGTGACAATACCGGTCAAAGATACTTTTTTATATTTTGTCTCTGTCAAAGACAAAAATTTTATATTTTTGAAATTAAATGCATCTTGCAATAAGTTAAAACCCCAAATTACGGATTGACGGCTTAAATTTGATTCACAGAGTTTTACTTTTTTATATATTAAATTTTCTTCTTAGGTGACCGCGATTTGCACACTTTACCCTATTACCTAATATATTGGCTATGGAAGACTTCAAAACAAACAATCCTAATTAAAATTTAAAGCCCACAATATGTTGGAAATATGTAGATGATGTGTTGGATACATTTCTGATTAATATAAATAAAAGGTAAAAGGAGGAGTCAATAAAATTTTCAATGGAAATAAATGAAATAACTCCTTTTCTGGATGTTTTAATCTCAAAGGAAAATAGTGGATATGGGGCTAATGTATACAAAAAACCAACAAATATGAAAATTGCCTGTTCTAATGACAATTCGTTTTTGGAAAAAAAAAATTATTATCCAACATCTATTTATAAAGTAAAAAATGATTATTTCAGTCGTTCAACATCGATTCGGCGGGAATCGCCTATGAAAAGTAGACAGTCTTTCTACTTCCGTCGAATCGACTCACTCGTGACTCACTCCGCCGAACGGCCAAGTCGATTTATGGTTTACATGTTCAATTTGCTTTCAATTTATTAGTCGACGTAAATTGTTCAACCCAGATCGACCGATTCTAGGTTAACCGATGTTTTCCTATTTCCGGTCCCAAAATGGACATTTTTAGTAAAATTCAGCTTGTTTGTATGATTTTTCGAGGTTTCATATCTGACGACTGTAGTATTTGCTTTTGTTAAATTAAAATTGATTATAACAATATCGTTACTTCTTTAATATTCCCGTTTTGTATCTGTGTTAAGTTTGCTTTTAATTTCTATATTAGTCACAAAAAAAAATTAACCCCTAACAAGTACATTTTTGTGTTTTACAGAAAGATTTCAACAGGTCGTACGACGCCGAAGAAGATGCCAAAAGGTTCAAAATATTTGAGGAAAAATACAACGAAATACAAGCACACAACAAAAAATTCGAAGCTGGTCAAGTAACATGGACAGCTGGATTGAACGACTTCACTGACAGAACACCCGAAGAACTTAAACATCTCCATGGTCTTAGAGTTCCTGATGGAAATGCTGCTGGACTACATTAACTTATGGCTAAAATTTTTATGATTATTTAATAAAGTTATCATTTGACAAATGTAATTTTATTTAGACCAATTGTTTATGATGATACAAATGTTACTCAATGTATTGGTACTCTATTAGAAATGTACTAAATTAAATAAGATCACAAATAGATAAAACTCTTAATTTTGAGACGACCTAGAACGCTTTTCTGGTGTTCCACAGAACTAACCCTCTTCTGCATGAATGATTGAAAACACGAATTAAAAAATATTTTTATGCATTGGGATTTTTATTAGGGCATATAAAAGACATTAGTACACTTAACCCTTTGATACCCAGTGGGGCTTATAGATCCCAGCGACAGTTTCAATTTGCCTGATGTTCCAAATATCAGGCCCATTTTACATTATATTATTCGATATCGGAGCACAGTATAAAGAGGTTCCACAGTAGAACCACTCTCTGAAGAATTGGAAGTAAAGTCTGTCAACGCGCAGAGCGACTGCGCTTATTTCTTAGTCGCTCGAGAACCATTCTTCCGTTGCTAGTCGCGTAGAAACGTACGGGTTAACAGTGCCGTATTTTGCTTAAACTGAGTTAGTTTTGTGAATAATTGTTAGTATTGTGAAGTTGAATATGAGTAAAATTCGAAGTGGTATTAATAATCTTAAACTTCCAAATTTGTTAAATATATCTGCCGATAGACCATATTTTTATCATGAAAATAATAAAATTGTCTTTTCTTTTGATACACCTCATTTATTAAGAACACTTCATAATAACTTTCTAAGAAACAAATTTGTTATTGATGATATTATCGTTTCTTGGGAATATATTAAAAAATTTTACAAACATGATAAACAATATCTTATACGTACAGCGCCAAAATTGACCGAATTACATATATCTCCTAACAATTTTGAAAATATGAAAGTGAAATATGCTTCTCAGATATTTAGTAACACTGTTGCTGCCGGTCTGCATCTGTATATTAGATTTATTGTATTCGTCGAGGAAGCAACAACAACCGAAAGATTTATTAGGAACATTAATAATTTATTTGATATGCTCAATTCTTCTTCATTAAGAGGAGCAACAAAGACCGTATAGAGGAACCGATGCTTAGCAAGAATTTCTTAATGCGTGTTTCCGATTGTTTAATAATTTACAGGTAATTAATTTTAAAGCTAAAAATGTAACACCAAGAATAAAATATGTTAATGGTTGGAAAATAACCATTAATGGAGTGATTCATTTGTGGAATCTACTACAGTCACATGGAATGGATTATTTTTTAACAAGGCGGATGAATCAAGATTGGCTAGAAACCTTTTTTGGTTCAATCAGGCAGCAAGGTGGCAAATGTGTTAACCCTACTCCGGTATAATTTACCGCAGCATTCAAAAGATATTTTTGTTTAGACATGATGCATTCCGGTACAGAAAATTGCGAAAGAGATGCAGGCCATATTTGTTAAATTTAACCGATATATGTACCGACGATTATCTGCCTGAAACCACTGCTTTGGTTCCTGAAAACACTTTGGATGACCAAATATATCAAACTTCAAATAAATTACAGAAAAACTTCACAAGATATATATGTATATGTGATATATATATATATATATATATATATATATATATATATATATATATATATATATATATATATATATTCACAAGTCTTAGGAAACATGTTTGTCTAATCTGTGAAGCATATGGGAGAGAGTACGATGAACTACACGATTCGTCTCTGTTTTGTTACGTTAAAGCCTAGAGTGGTAATGAACCAAACATTTTTGGCAAGCTCTATATGCCGAGCTAAAATTTTGTGCAGTATGTTACAGATTTGGAAATTATTTTTCAAGAGAATTTTCAAAATTTTAGTCATCAACCGAAAATCTTACAAAACTACGTTAGCTTATTCGAAAAAATACCATATACGCATCCTTGCAGCAATTTTGCAAAGGGCTATCTCATTAGATTATAGGCTACAATAAGAATATATTACACATTAAAAATAATTAATAGAAATTTTAAAGTATCTAAGACAAAAGGACATAGGAAATAAATAATTTGAAAACATAATTAGCTTTAAAACGTGTTGTTTGTTTGGGTTTATATAACTGCGGACACTAAATACATTCTCAAATTTTAATTTTTGTTTTTACTTATAAGTCATGTTTTGTATACAATTTTATGCGTAAACTAATACTAACATTAATTTCTAATAAATAATCCTTTTTATATTTTTTGATAATTTAGTTAGTTAAGTAATTCATAATTTAGTTTTATAATGTATTTTTTTTGATAATTACTTCTTCTATAATATAATAAATTCTTATGCAGCTCTATATTTATTTCAAGAGCTATTTTGCCATATATTGTCCAAGTTCCTCATTTTTTAGGAGGAGAATAGGAATCACCCGGTACTCTCTCCAACTATCTGAAATATCTTCTGATTTGATTTGTTCTTGATTTAAAAAAATTTAATAGTGTTCTTTTTCTATTTTGATATAAATTTTTCAACATAATATAACGTACATATATTCCTATTCCCGGCGAAGTATTTTTCTTATTCTTAAGACTGATTTCTAATTCATACAACCTAAATGTTACTGAAAGTGGATAATATTGTGTAATAGATAACACTGGACATAATTTTCTTAAAAACGCATCAACTCATTCTCCTTTGATCACTGTATTTACTTATAGTTTAAAAATGGATTTGACTAGACTATCTCTGGCAGACATCCTGACAATGCAGATGCTTTGTTGATCTGACTCCTCACGTCCTTACTAGGACACAATTTAACTTGAAAAAAATAATTTTATTACCGTTTCGACTTCCAATTCGGACGTCGTTGTCAAAATACAAAATTATTTTTGCATTTTGACAACGACGCCTGACTTGGAAGACGAAACGTTAATAAAATTATTTTTTCAAGTTAAATTGTAGCTTATTTCCGAATTAGAATAGTTGATATTCGTTTATTTTATTAAAAAATTGTTGAAATTGTTAAAAATAAGAAAGACGAAGAGAATTTTTTTTATTTAAATTTGTGGCTAAAAATCACCACAAAACATCTTTTCAGCAATTTGAATTTTAATTGATGTATTCTTGCACATTACGCGATTGTTTTGACGAAAAGACTATTGCAAAATTTGATTATTTTTTTGCAGACTACAACTAAAACTAAACAAATAATGCAGAAAACACAAAAAATCGACAAAATTTCATAAATGTCAAAATTTCATAACAGTGGAGTAAACTTGCCTGCCGTTGGACGAATTATAAACAAGCGTTATGAAGCGGTAAACTTGAATTACTCCTCCTTGTTTAAAAACAGAGTATAGTAATGCCGATGCCGTGAGAGCTTCGAAATTAACCTCCTTTTATTTAACGTTTATATGACATGTACAATATATTAAAAACCATTGAGATTTTAAAACTTGCGCAATACCGTTGATATTTAAAATACCGTTGAAAAATATAAACAATGAATTATAATATTGTTTTTAATTTATTAAACCCTTTGTTTTTGTAATATTAACATTTAGTGAGAACATCTGGACAGTTAAATATGGGAAGCCGCATTTTTTATTTAAATAAATTAATAGTAGTAGGCTCAGAAAATTTTAATACGGCTCTGTAAGGTTAACGGTGGTGGATTACCAATTTCGTACTTTGCCGGTATTACTTCCTAAGATCAAAGTGCCGACAGACGAGTAGTTTTACTGTGGAACCTCTTTATACTGTGATCGGAGTTTATCGACTACACTGCACATGTTTCTCTACTAAAGTGATATTGGCAACGTTGGATGGCTCAGTTCGTTCGTAAGTACGACATACTCAACACGTGCTTCTTACTTTTCGACGTTTTTACAGTTAAAACAACTTGTTTTCGACACAATCGTAAGGTAAGTTTGTTTTTTAGTGTATGTAATTATTCTACACGTTAATCTGAGATTCGTTTACTTTTGTAAATTGGCAAACTTACATCAGAAATCACATAGGATTTATGTGTCCCACTGGGTTTGTTGGACGGGCCTTTTATATCCCATTGGTTTTTTTCAGCATGTCAAGAAAAAGAAAGCTTACTCAAAAGGAATTGCAAGAACTGGCTGATAATATAAGCGACATATCTTCATGCGATGACATAGATGCAGAATCTAATGTATCTTCAGAAGACGTCGAAGAAGACCTATTCCACGACAGTGATAATTCTTCTTATGAGTCGTATATGGCATCAGATGATTGTCCTGGCAATGAAGAAGAACACACTCGCTCATCAGATGGATCAAATACGTCTTCATTTGATTCTCCCGAAAATGAAGAAGACGAGAATACTTGCTTACCAGATGAGGAAGATTTAATTGAAGATAAGAAAGACATTATCAATAAAAAGAAAAGAGAACTTGCTATGGTATGGTATGGTATCAGTCGCAGCTGATCATAAACACAGATTTGCTGTTCCTCCTGAAATACCTTGTGTAGTTGATGAATCAATTAATATGAATTCGTCACGTCTAGAAATTTTCTTGAAACTATTCCCTTGAAGTTTATTTATTTTTATTGCGGATTGTGCAAACGAGAAAATTAAAATGTATAATCGTAAGGAAGGAAAGTCTAAACCGCTTACAGATGCTGGTGAAGTAATGAATACTATTGGTTGTACTCTAATAATGTGCTTCATTATTATAATACTGCGGTCGACTGGGTCATCCCACCAGCCTCAGGCCAAATTTCTTATATCTTGAATCAAACTATACATACAATGATTGACTACAGCAGCATGCTGTGCACCATATGGGTACACTTTGCCATTGGCAAATAGTGCTGTGTACCAATATGGTTCACGAATACATAATGGCAAATAGTACTAAATCAGCTTGGCAGTCAACCTGTTAAGGTGGTGCGAAGTTCGCCAGATCACCTAGTAGTCTTCTTCTATTTCAAGTTCCGCTCCTATCGGAGGTTGGAAATCATTCTGGCAATTATAATTTGTTGGTTACGTGCCTGAACCGCATCCAAACTATTCACAGAGATTGCGTAGTCACGAGA